GGTTGGACCAGACTTCGAGCACACAATCATGGGATGTGCTCCGGCGCATACAAACATGGCAAGCGCTTGAGCGCTTGGTGGTCTCTCTCCACTACATGCTGCAGTTCCAGTTCATTCTCGCAGAGCTCCCTAAATTTGATCCGATCAACGAGGACGCTTGCGACGAGTACTACCAGGGAGTGGAAGTCATTGAGTATCTAGTCGCAGAGTTGACCACACCTGCAGTACTACAGCGCCAGCAAGCCCTTGCGCTGAACCCAATTGTCGCAAGTGCTCTGGCGCTCTATCGAGAACGCCACGATGCATTCGTTGAGAAACTTGACGCGCAGACCCTCGAAGCCCGCGCAGCAGGATGGCTTGAACTCGCGACTCTAGATCGCTCGCAGCACGACCCGGACATGAATTCACTGCGGACAATGTGTCCAAGTGCTCTCGCAAATGCGGATTCGGACCCGGCAAACGCGAATAGGTGGCGCGGCGTCCATCACGTGCTTTCGTTACGGCCAGAAAGCTTGTAAATGCTGATGATTGTCCACTTCCTCCCTCAGTCACCGAACCTCGTTGAGTACTACTTTTCGGAGATCCATCTGAATGAAGTGGCAATTGAGCAGATAACGGCGGATGTGAAAGCTGGTCCGAAGCTCATCCAACAGGCGGCCAATGGGCTCGTTGATGTGATGGAATCACGGGATCTTCTGAGCGAACGGTACAACCAATTCGTGGAGCGCGTACAGCCGGCCATTGTTACAGCCACCCCGGGATTTGCATCAAGGGAAGAGTGGATGCATCTGAAGCCCGCCATTTTCACGGCCACTGGAGCATTTGCAGCGCCGGATGTCTTTGCTACGCTGCAGTATGCATGATCAGCTGACGCCGGAGACCTGCCAGTGCAGCGCTTGTGGTGGCAACCATGAGATACGAAGGGCGAATGAGACCTTCGAAGCGGATACCAAGTCTATGCGTTCTGGTCACATACCGCGCGATCTACCATACCACAAACCGCACAGCTACAAGTCCGCTTTCGCGTCTTCACCCGCCCAGCACCGCCTGATCGTCTCCCTCAACGGCCCTTTCTCAATCTCCCTCGGATTCCAATACGGATTACTGACCGCGATCTCCGCCGCCTTATCCACATCCTCCTCCTTCATCCCGAACTCCTTCAACCCCCTCTTCACCTTCAATTTCGCCAACAGCACATTCAACCCTTTAATCGCATCCCCATCCGAACCCGGCAAGACCCCCGCAAGCTGCTTCATCACCTCCGGGATCTTCGGCGCGTTATACGCAATCGCATGCGGCAGCACAATAGTATGCGTCTCCGCGTGCGGGAGGTTGAAGGAGCCACCTAGGGTATGGCAGAGTTTGTGGTGCAGCGCCATTCCCACGGAGCCGAGACACATGGCGCAAAGCCAGGCGCCGTATTGGGCTTTGGAGCGGGCGTCGGCGTCGTGGGGGTGGTTGACGATGATGGGGAGGGCTTCGGCGAGCGCTTTGGTGCCTTCGAGGGCGAAGAGGGTCATTATGGGGTTGTTGGCGCGGGCGTAGAGGGCTTCGACTGGGATGTGCGTTAGTGGACTGAAAAGAACGTCAGCTCAGCGTAACGTACCAGCGTGAGCAATGGCGTTGACACCGCTAGTCGCACTCAAAGCTTCCGGCAAGGTCATGGTGAAGTCTACATCATATATGACAGTCCCCGGCAAGATCTTAGGATCGCTCCTCGTCGTCTTCTTCCCGTCCGCCGTCTCTCCCAGGATAGGCGTCATCTCACTCCCAGCATACGTCGTTGGGATACAGACATGCTCCAACCCCGTCCGGATACTGATCGCCTTCCCAAGCCCAATCGTGCTCCCACCGCCGAAACTGACAACACAATCTGCGCCGCACTCTTTTGTGTATTGCAGAGCTTTGTCCGTTATATGCGTGGGCGTATGCATGGTCGCCTCGCTGAAGAGGCCTGCGGGCGTAATCGAGGCATCTTTGAGAATGGGTTCGAGGGCCCGGACTTGCTCTTCTTGTTGCGGTGTTGAGAGGAGTAGGGGTTTGGATTTGTTCAGTCGCTTGATCTCCTCTGGGAGCTTCTTTATGCTGCCGCTGCCGAAGACGACTCGGCCTGGGTTGGCGGTATACTCGAAGGGCTGCATGCTTGGTGTTGGAGTACCTGAATGGCTGGTGGTTCTCGAGGATGGTAAGGGTGCTGGAGGCTATCGTTGCCTCCAAGAGGGACCATTATTTCTCGGCACTTTGTCAAGGTACCTGAGGTAAGAAGTGGGAGGTGGAAGTCGAGGTTTCGCGGGGTTCTCCGTCGTCCGGCATCGGCATATGCGTCGATGTTTGGTATTGCTGCATCTGCGGCACTCTGTGGCGGCGAGATCGATGCAAGCTCGAGTGCCGCGACATATGTGTCGTTTGCTGGCTGACTCTGCTGCTCGTCTCTCGAGAATAGGAAGAGGGAGGATGGCATGCGAGATTGTATCGCTGCCGTGGCGGCACTCAGCGGTGGCGAGATCGTTGTCCGCGCTCGATAGGCAGAAGCCTCTGCTTCCGACTCCAGCACTGTCTACCTCCGGGCGCCGACGACGCGCTCGTTGTGCAGTATCGCGCGCCCCACTGCAAACATACGAGCCCGATCTGCATCCACACCGGGCGCCATGTCGCGGGGATCCTGCTGCGGCTGCTCGCGCTGCAGACGAGGATCGAGGTGAGGATCGTACAGCGCGTTCTGTGCGTCCGGCTGGTTGTACCTCGGACAGGTCGTCTGCCAGTGTCCCGAGCTCGCCGTCGCTTCTTTGCCACAGATGTAGCAGAACTGCGCGCCACAGTAGCAGTGCATGTGGTTGCAGCCGTCCTTGAGCTCGACCTTGCGTCCGCAGCGGGACGAGGGGCAGATCTGGTAGTCTTTGCCGCGCTTCAGGCCGACGAAGATGGCTTCCTCATCCTTGGGACGGACTTTGGCCGGATCGCACCTGTGGGAGCGGTTGGTACTTACATCACCACAGGTCGAACAGGACGTCTTGCTGCAATGCGAGCAGCTTACCCTGCTCAGGCGTCCGTCTGTTGTACGGCCTCCCAAGAATCTACCGCATACCTCCTCCGATCGATGGCCAGGCGCCCACTTCAGGATCCGTCCTTGGCAGTACATCCGGTCGACTGGCTTGACGTCCCATTCCTTCGACTTGACCTTGAACTGTTCTTGGACAGAGGTCGAAATGGCGGAGGAAACGTCGGCGACGTCCAGTCTGTGCTCGGCCCACCGAGGAGGGTAGTTGCCCTCGTCCTCGATGGCCAGGGTGAACATCTCGGTGATGCAGCCATGGCACGCCGCATCTCCGTGGACGACAGCGATGGTCGAGACGGTCTGTTCATCGCCGCAGACACTGCACTCCGCGGTGGGTCCGTCACTAGTCGTGGTGTGAAGAGTTGAAAGAGACATCTTGGATGTCGTCGGATGTGGAAGATAGGACGAGGCTGGCTCTGTGTGTGAGGTCACGAGAGCGAAGTCTTGGCGGCTGTTGAGACGTTTGAGGGTTGTGATGTTGCTCGGATGTGGTAGATGTCGGTGCGGTGTGGAAGACGTCGATGGGTTTTGGAGAGACGAAGTCTTGATGGCTTGTTGGCTTTTTTGGACGGTGGTGTGAGAAAAAGTCTTGTGCGAGCAGTTTGAAGTTGCCGCTCGGAGACGAAGTGTTTCCAAGATGATTGTGAATTCGTTGGAAGGGACTGCGGGCAGGTTTTTATGAAATGTCGAATTGTCCGAATGTCCTCACCAGAGATGTCGGGCTCGCATGAAGCTTTTGGGCGTTTGGTCCTCAAGTGGTAAGCAGCTTTGCGGTTGGTTTGTTGGCGATGATGAGGACTGAACGTGGTAAGCAGATGCTCTCAACAGCAGGGCGTTTAGGGTTCTCGAAGACTGTGTGTACAAAACGGGGGAGTCAAGTCGCTGATGCTTCCACATACATGAAGCCGTCAATGCACGATATGTGTCGCGCTGCTCGCGCTAGCAAAGTCTAAAATTTGCTGACATTCACACGTAGTCATCGTTTCGAAGCATGCTTCACGCACTCGGTGGCAACCTGCAAAATTGGGCAAGCTATTGCTCCAGCAGGCAGTGAGGACAGCGTACATTGGTCTCGTGCGGTGGTAATCTACTGTCTTCCAAGCCACACAATTCGGAGGCGCTCAGCCACTCCTCGATCGAACGGCGGCCCGTACGCAGGTGCCCGTGCAGAGCCGGCAATGGCGAGCGCTGTATGGCACGGCTAGGCTCGACCCGCTGGTATCAACGAAGTAGATACGCAGTCTTCTCCTCGAGCGTTCTTTCCCGAATCGGCGATGTCCCAGCAAAGCCAGCTCCAGCTTCACGGCGAACCCCTTTCTCCCAATCTCCGCCGACAATCTGCACTCCCGACTGCCTGGAGGCCTGACCAGTCCTTCTGACTATCGTGAGTACTCATCGTCTCCATCCATTTCTTCGAATATCGTCGAGTCCTGCGGCTCCCGCTCACCGAAGCGCTCGGCCACTACTTCTGCCCGCCTGACGTGCCCGCCTGACGTGCTCGGCATGGTCAACGTACGATTCGGTGGCCCCCCCAGAAATCGAAGTAGCCTCGTATCCGCCTTAACAACAGCGGCCATGCTTGGGGAAACTCGCAGTGACGAGGGAGCGGGTATGTATGTAGTCTTGCTCTGGGGCGCGGACGCGAGTGAGGTCGTCCAGAGCGGTCTGACTGTACTGTACTGTACTGTACTGAGGCGACCGGCTGTAGTGGTCGTTTCTCCAGTGACAGATAGCGACGTAGTATTTACGCAGAGTCCGGTCAATTACTCATCCCGTGTGCCAGCTTGTCGTCGCGAATTGGGACTCAGACGGACGCGGATGAAGTCACGGTCTAAAGAAGGAGCTCGTTGTCCATCATACCTCAACGTACGCTGCCTAAAAGGTCGATTTCGAGCAGCACCGACTCTTGCGGCCCTGGGTGATCTGGCAAGGCCCAAAACGCAAAAGGTTTCGCCGGGGGTCGAACCTATATCATAACGTTTAGCTCCTACATTCACTTTGGGCACTCATAGCACACATACCCGGGACCTTTTCGGTGCAGGATGTCAGACATGCTGTAAACGAAACGTGATAACCACTACACCACGAAACCCTGAAAGGCGATGAGGAAATCGGGCCCAAATAATATGGAGCTCTGGCACCAATCGACCGAGGTTTATCCGAAGAGGCTCGTTGGACGCCCTGTTGCCTGCGTTTCTGTCGGTCTGAATGCTGCGCGTCGTGGACACCGCCAGGCTGATGATTGACGACCAGGGTCAAGCAGCGGCTGAACGAATCGTGATGCGTTGTCATGAGAATGGTATGAATCGACGGTCTCGATTTTCGTGCTTTCGCATGGATCAAGTCTGGCTCGATGATAATAATCCTTCCGCAGATCGAGCATGCGTCCAGATGCTGCAAGTCATCGGACATTCAGCATTCAAAGCCGAAACCTGTCACCGAACACAGGCGCAGCTCAGGCAGAGTCGCTCTGCGCCCGCAATCGAGCACAGGCCGCAGACACGCCTTCGGCACATCGCACAAGCGGTATCTTGCTCTAACACAACGTCGTCCACCTCCATAGCGTCTTCTTCTCGTAGGGGTCTCTCGCAGTCCTCGCACCTCGACAGGCTCGACTCTTGGTCGCTTGCACGATCGCTTCCACTGTCCAACTGCATGCCGTCTGTTCTCGCCGGTGGGCTCGGTAGACTCCAGAAAGCATGCAGCGTGCTCTTTTGCGGCTTCTCGTGCGCAGCCGCAGGGGGTACACTCTGGCTGCTGAGCACAGGCTCTGCGTCCAGATGCTTTCGTTGGGCGTCGTATAGTCGATTGATAGTCGATGCTGCAGCACGGCAGGCATCAGCAAGCATGCTCATCTGTATGACGGCGCCGAGCCAACAGGACACACCGTGGACTTGCTGCTCGTCTGGTCGATCATCGCGATGCCTCTTCCGTGTCCGGCTATTGAGATGTTGTGCCGAGGGGCCGTCGTCGTACGTGGGAAAGGCCCATGTTTGCTTCTCGTAGAACGCTGGAGTGGGCTTCTGTTGCGGATAGTAAGATGGTATCGCAGTGGACGGAAAGTCGGTTGATGTGCTGAAGACAGTGGCCAGCGAGGAGAAGGAGATTGAGGAGCGTTTGCGTTTGAGGGCCATATTTCGATGAGTACAGTATGTAGAACGGTGTTCCTTGAGAGCGATCCTATGATTGATGCGCTGAATACCCACTGATCAGGGTAGGAAGAGTGGGTGGCGATGAACGCGTTTAGAGGACGCGTGAGGAAACGCGACCAAAACACCAAGTGACAATATATGTTGCATCTTGTCTGCTCTTTCGTTTGGGTATACACCTTTCTAGCACACAACTTGCAACAAGGATTACCTTGGTGATAACATGGCTTTGGTCTAAGAGACACCTAGACGCAGGAGGTTGCGTGAGCATAACAGTGTATAAGAAGAACATCAACCAATTCTGTCTCCTCTCGACTACTGTCGTGTGAATTGTCAACGAGGCTGGCTCCCTCACCTCACTGCAAGCACTTCCAGGTTGCATCTCCCCATATCACCACCTACTCCAGTATCAACCGACTCGCCTCTCAACATGGCGAGCAAAGAAGTCATCCGCGAAGCAACCCACGCCGACTCCTGGTACAGCGCCTCCCAATCACAGCTCAACAACCAACTCGACGGCTGGCTCGCTACGGTCAAGACACCAGTCAAGTGCATAGGTCCACGAACGGAAGGGCAGAGCACCGCCGAGTTGCCCGTCCCTGGAGCGAGAGTCATTATCGCGCCGTAGGTTTTAGTGTGATGTGGCTGTCTAGGTAGGTGGCGAAGTGTGCTAAGGCCTCGTCTTGTCATAGGCATGCCGGCTACTCATACTCTGGACCTGCGGCTGCTTGGGCGTACAGGTCGTGGGATATTTCGAAGGCGTGAGTACGCTCCACGAGTTTCACTTACTCCCTTGTTGTCGTTGTCACTCTCTCTCTGGTCTTCGGGGCATTGCAAAAGCAGGTGGCACCATCTCCCACGCGATATCTCGAGCTTGAACTCTCATCTTTGCTTTCCTTCGGCCTCTCGCAAGAAATTATCGCGATGTCCTACCATATTCTTCAATCCATCATGATGACCAGCCGCCTGTCCGCATCAATATGTAACATGCAGTCCTGACGACCTTTCATCAACAGGAAGCGGATCTTCCTCCTCGGACCCTCTCACCACCACTACCTGACCAAAGCAGCTCTAACCCGCTGCACCCACTACGCCACTCCCCTCGGCAACCTCCCCATCGACCGCGAGACCACGGCCGAGCTCCACAAAACCGGCCACTTCGAATGGATGTCCCAGTCCGTCGACGAGGACGAGCACAGCCTAGAAATGCACCTCCCCTACATCTACAAAATGCTCTCAAAGTGAGGCCCCCCGCTTACCCACTACCACCCAATTCCAGCACCCGCTCACAGAAGTACTGCACTATAGAACCTTTGGCGCAAACCCCACCATCTTCCCCCCCCTCACCCCAATCCTCATAGGCAACACCTCCATCCCCACCGAAACCACCCTCGGCCGCCTCCTCGCCCCCTACCTCGCAGACCCCACCACCGCCTTCGTAATCTCCTCCGACTTCGCACACTGGGGCCTCCGGTTCTCCTACACCCTCTACCGCTCCCCCGGCTCCCCGCAGACCTCCCTCACGAAATCCTCCCCTGCCCCGCGGAATCCCGCAATTCACGAGTCGATTAGGGCGGTGGATTTCGAGTGCATCGGTGCTTGTGAGAGCGGGAGCCATATGGCGTGGTTGGAGGCGTTGGAGGAGACGGGGAATACGGTTTGTGGACGGCATCCGATTGGGGTTGTGATGGCGGGGGTGGAGCAGGTGCGGAAGAGAGGTGGGGGTGGGAGGGAAGTGGGGTGTTTTAAGTTTGTGCGGTATGAGAGGAGTGGGGAGGTGGTGAGGGTGGGGGAGAGTAGTGTGAGTTATGCTAGTGCGTTTGCTGTGATGTAGGTGGTGACGTTTGGACGGGTTGTGGGATGGATTCGAGAGCGCGGCATGCCGTTGCGGGGGAGGGATGAGAGGACGAGTGAAACGCTTTCGAGGCCGAAGGGGACAGGCTCGGCGATGATGGGATGTGCACTCGTGCATTTGCTACGGGTAAACTGTTTGTATGAGGGTAGTCGTACAGCTGCTCGCCATTCGCTGGACCGAGGTGCGCTCCGCCTACTTGTCTAGCTCTGATGGCTTCCTTTCTGTCGTCGATATCGAGGCTCACTCAAGGTACTTGGAAGCCAGCGCCTTCAACATGGGTTTCGCCACGGGCTCCACGGTCTTCCACCCCTTCTGCCCCTTCTGCAGCACCTCCCCCATATCCAGCCCATTCACCAACCCATTCTTCCCCGCCTTCTTCTTCTCCCTATCGCGGTCCTTGTCCCGATCCCGACGATCCCGCCTATCCTCCTCCTCATCCCTGGGACCCCGCCGTTCCTTCTCCCGCCTCCTCTCCCGCTCCCGCCGCGAATCCCGTCCATCAGTCCTGTAACCCCGCTCCTCGTCATCCCTACGCCGTCGACGCGGAGCTTCAGTTCCGTACCCGCGGTCATCGCGCCCGCTGCGCTCGCCGTTCCGCTCGCGCTCTCTATCCCGCGTGCTGCGGCGCGGCGGCGGAGGCCGGGAATCATACCCCGTGTCCTCGTCGTCGTCGCGGCGGCGCGAGGAAGGAGGATCGCGGTCGGAGCGTCGTCGTCGAGGGTCGCTGTCGCGGGGGTAGTCGCGCGGGGCGTCTCGGCGTCGCGGGGGTTCTAGGTCTTGGTCTGTGCGGCGGCGGGGGCGATCCCGGGATGGGGGCGGCGGGTCGTCATGGTCGTCTCTCGGCCGCGGGCGCCGGGAGCTGCGTGAGGGGGGTGGGTCGTCGTCGGGCCCGTTCTCGGGTGGGCGTCGGCGGGGCTGCACGCCGTCGTCGTAGCTCGTGTCTCGGTGCCGGCCGATGGGCGGGGGCGGGACGGACGAGACTGTGTCTGCTGAGGGACGGCGGGAGCGTCGGGAGGGTTTCCGGTCTGGGTCGTCTCGGGGCGGAGGGGAGCGGAGGGGAGGGACGTCGTCTTCGTCGCTGGCGTCGTAGTCGTCACGGCGCCGGGGTCTGCGCGAGTCGTGCCTCGACATGTCCGTGATGGCCGTAGTGTCTCTCAGTACGGGAATGCCTCAGAGCCTCAACGCGGGTGTCGAAGTCAAAGGAAGGGATTGTAGCGGTGAGCAGGTGGGGAGGCGAGGTGATAGAACTACGGTAGCTAGGAAATAAAGTGCACCGGCTTACGGATGTGTTACTTCCTCGAAGCTGCTGCACGTGCCACGTCATGGTTTGGTCGGATCTGCAGCTGGCGAGTAGATAATAAAGCAAAAGGTCACGAGGCACAGAGACCGTTGTCAGTCACAATAATGCGCGTTGTCTGTAAGGTATGAGAAACAAGCGGCTTGGTGACTTACGTACTACCTACATGAGTATCTTGGGCAGGGCTGCGATGGACGGCCAAGACGACAGCCCTACCACCCTGAGAACTCCTGGCCAACACCGAAGCAGTGTCAAGCTCCACGATTGCAGTCCAACATGTCGCCGCACCATGACGTCGAGTCTCACTTGAAGACCTGCAAGTGGATGCACTGGTGTTGCTGATGAGGGGCTTCATTTCTTAGCGTTCAGATGTCGACGCGGGTCGATGCAGGGCAGCCATTCGACCGCGGTTGGCAACACGTAGCTGCGACAGCACCGCGAGCGTAGATCCACAACACCTCTTGTCATCATCGTGGAGACCGCGAGCTTGAATTCACTAGAGAAGCCGGTATCATCAACGCTGGCCTTCCCAAAGTCTCACTACGCACAGCAGATCCGCTAGCTAGGCCTCGTAGTGCCAGGCGTGTCCGCCATGTTCTCCGCCATGTTCTCCACCACTCTCCACCTCCGTCTCCACGTAAGCCTGATGCTGTCCGCGCCTCTTGAGCTCCTGCATCGACTTGGGCCTGCCCACTCGCTGCAGTTGCTCGCCGCGTACGGCTGTCCTCAAGTCAGCTAGAGACTGCATCTTATTCGGTGCCACCGGTGCCGGGAGCGGCGGCCACACAGTA